GATTGTGGCCTATTAATTATGGCGAAGTTCGATTATGGTTTGTCGATTGAAATCATAAACTATTTTCACAAAATAACCTTGACCACATTTGTTTTTATTATTATTATTTTTGTCGACAGACATTCTAACGTGGCATGACAGATGTGTTAAGGACGTGATATGATGACATGTTAAACGGAGGGCTAGAGAGTTAGCAATTGCAGCAATTTGAAAGTTGCTGAAATCAAGGAGCCAAGATCAAATGAAACACCAAATCTGTAAAATGATTCCTATCAAACATGGGATATGGATAATGTTGAGGAAATCATGGGCTTATTGAGGAAATCGTGGGCTTAGGTTATCTCTTTCTCTCATGTAGCTATGTCATTCACCAAGCTCCGTGACAACACCGCACACTCATTTAAGTGAACATGCAAGGCTAAGAGTCCAATCACATAAATCAACAATGCAAAATACTCAAATTAAATCTTTAATTATCATAATGCCAAAATCCATAAAAATAAATAATTCTTATCATATGAAATTGTCCTCCAAGTCCACTAATATAATCCACTAACAAAATAATAATCAAAGTACTTAAATCATAGTCGTACTCTCGACACTCCCATAAGTAAAAACCCCACGTAGCTCTACTCCTCAGAATTTGAAAAAAAAAATAAGGGTGAGTTAGACAGCCCAGTAAATAACCAATCATCATTGCTAGTTGGATTAAGTATACAAAAAAAAATAAAATAAATAGTCAATAACCAATAAATACATTCTTGTTACAATTCAATAAATAAACAATTATTTTGTAAGATGGTTTCATTGTTGAAAATAAACAATGTAGCAATACATTCTAATTGAAAAGACAATGAGATAATTCGAAGAAATTTCGTTGTCAGAATCGATGGTTCAATAATCAGATGGTTCAATCATGCGATTCACAAAACTCAAGTCTTGGTGACTACGGTCACTTAGCCCGTGACAAGGCCCAAAACCACACCTAGGCTGGTGGTGAAGCCCCAAAAGAAACTAGTTTATGTGCCAATAAATAACCCCCATTGGCTAGGGTCCAAATATAGCGATCCCGATTTTCTCTCCTTTGGTTGTTGTATTCCGGACTTAGGTTCCGTGGTGTTGGTTGTTGTATGTATCTTGTTTCCACCCTTCAATTCTATATATTTGAGTTTTAGGATGTGTTGGGCAGGTTTGTAACAAGTTGGTTGTGATTGGGAACAAATGGTTGCTGCCTAGATTTTGGTGTCTTCGCTCGAGCGAGGCTTTTGTCTCTCAAGCGAGCTCTGTGTTTTAGCTCCTTCGCTCGAGCCAGGTTTCCTTCGCTCAAGCGAGAGTTGGGTGTTGTGTCTGGTGGCTCGAGCGAGAAGTCTTGCGCTCGAGCTTGCGTCTACGTCCAGTTTTGGACCTGAGAGTTGCATTTCTTAGCTCGAGCGAGCGAGCTGTATGTTTTGGGTTTCTTCGCTCGAGCGAGCTTTTCTTCACTCGAGCGTGCTTCTGGGTTGCAGACCTGAAGCTTCGAATTGTTGGTTCGAGCGAGGCTTTCTGTGCTCGAGCAAGGTTCTTTGTGTCTGGTCGCTCGAGCGACCATTTCTTCGCTCGAGCGAGCCTCGAATATATCAGTAGGCAGCAGCAGGTTACACTTCATTTTTTCATCTCCTTCTTTACACAAACCCTAGATTTGGTTGCTCCATCTCTCTCTACATACCTTCTCTCTACAAATCCATCTAGCTCTGGTGTGTTTCTACCCTAATCCCTTTGTAAGAAGTGTGGAGCTTGGTGTGGGCTTCGTTTCAATCCAAAAAAGTTGGTGTTTGGAGCATCTCGAGTTTTCACCTTCTTCTCCTTTGATTCTTTTCTCTTGAGGTAGGGATACCCTACTCTATCTTATGAGTTTTGTCATAAATTTTAGTCATTTCGATTGAATGGTGAGTTATGGTAATTTTGGAAAAGTTAGGGTTTGATTTGTAATTTATAAAAGAGGGGTTTTGTGTTTTAAAGCTCCATATGCATATAAGGCTTTGGGAATATGAGTTTGTGAGTCAAATTAGTGGATTTTGGTCTTAGCATCAATATTTGAGAAAAAGGGAAAATGTCCTAATTAATGTGATAAATTAATTTGCATAATTAATTTGGGAAAAGTATGAAACTATGAAATTGAGTTGAAAATCATGAAATTGGGAAGTTATGGAATTGAATGGTGTAGTTGGATGAATTAATCACTCACCTATGAAAATGTTGATATTTTATCTGTTTGATAAATTTATTATCTATTTAGAGATAACTACTTTGGGCTATCGGTGGAGGATAGTCTTGATTGTTGTAGGCACTGTATGTTGATTAGGGAAAACTGAAACTAATCACATTGAATATGACAGTTGAAATAATACATCGAATATGTATATTGATTGATCATTGTATATGATAAGTGGTTATATACATTGTATATGTATGTACGTAGGAGGAGATAGAGGATGTACTCCATGGTTTGGGAGGAGATAGGGGATGGACTCTCAAACCTGTTTGGGAGGAGATAGGGGATGGACTCCATTGGTAATTGAAGTATGGAAGTGTTTTAATATGAGTTGTAGTCTCATGTAAATTATGAATAAAGGAAGTGTTTTTAATATGAGTTATAGTCTCATTTAATTGTTTGGCCAGGTTCTGAGCCATGTTTATGACTCAAAGTTGTTTAAGTGAAGGAAAGTGGAATGAAAAATGAATGTATCTATTGTTGAATTGAAAAGCGTTGTAAGTTGGTTTATAAGTGTTAACCATCTATCGAATGCTAATGTTTTAGTCATTTCTCATACTTGGTTTAATATATCTCTACTGGGCTTTGGCTCACCCTATATAGGACATCATTTTCAGGTTCAGGTGATATGCCACCTCCAAGGACGTAGCTTGGGAGGCTTTGAGACTGATAGAACTTTTTGTTGTTCTCTTTTGGTATTATATGTAAATTCAAGCCAAGGGCTTAAAGTGTATTTGAGTTAGTACTCTCGTTTCTTGTAACCAAGTGTTGGCTTGAAAAGTTGTAAGCCCGTAGGGCATTTACTTTTGTTGTTAACATGTAATACTTTTGTAATGAATACTCTGATGAATGGAAATATGCTTTATTCTCTTATGTCTATGCATGTCAAGAATGTGGGTTTATATGTATTATTTTGAGGGCGTTACACCAAATCATAGTTAGACTAGAGTGATGTTCAAAATTCAAACAATACACAACTTTTAAATAAAATATTCGATATTTTCAGAATAAACATATGGTACAATTTTCAGAATAGTTTCACAGAATATTCAAATAATTTTCATAATAATATTCGATATTGTTTTAGAAAAATGCTTGGGAGCACTAATTAGTGCTCCCACTAATTAGGTGGCAGTGGGTCCCGCCATTAATGATGTGATGTTTTGGTATTGTTTTATACTTGACCCATATTTTATTTTAAGAGACCATGAAGGCTATAAAATAAATATTTATAATTTTAAATGATTCAATAGGAATAAAAATGAACCAATAGTGATAGAGGGTTACTTACCTCAAATAGCTAAAATAATATTTCCCAAGCTAATCTCAAATTACAAAGATCAACCTCAATCTCACAAACCTAATAAAATATTACACCATATAAACAATTATTGTTGATCACCATGATGCATCCATCATTCTTTTCTTTATAAAAGAATAAACTAATCCTATAGTCTATCAGTAGTTTCCAAACCCCAGCACCGAAACAGAGCCACTATGACTTGGACAATTTCTTTCAAAACTTACATTATTCTATTGTTGTTTATAAACATGTATAAATTTGTAACCACTTGCGGTCAATCTTGTATCCCACAAACACACCACCATTGAACTTAACCCATCACATATCAATCGCAAAATACAAACCATCCAAACGAAATGCAAAATACACTCTAAAGTCCGGCGAAATCAACACCCCCCACATGGACTACATCAATATAATTATTTAATCATATATGCCCATACAAATCATCCATTGATATATTAAAACTAAATTTATAAATAGGTATCACTACAAGAATTCGCACTTTTGCCGACTAAATTTTTGGTCGGCAAAAGTCCATTTTTAGTCGGCAAAAGTTATTCGCGACTAATTTTTTTGGTCGCCACGTTGGTCGCCAATTGAGGGTCGCGGAAAGTAATTAGCGACTAAAAAAAATTTTAGTCGCGAAAAAGTTATATTTGCCGACTAAGTTTTTAGTCGCTAAATATATAATTACTGCGACTAATCCATTTAGTAGTTAAAACACTTTAGTCGCGAAAAATTACATTTTCCCGACCAAACATGTTAGTCGCCAATTCGCACATTCAACGACCAAAAAGTTTGGTCGGCAATTGTAATTCCTTTTCCACGACAAAAAACTTTGGTCGACAATTGTGATCCATTCTGGCGACCAAAAAATGTGGTCGCCAATTGTCACATTCCACGACCAAAAACTTTGGTCGGCAATGCATTCCGCAACCAACAAATTTGGTCGGCAAATAACACATTCCACGACCAAAACGTTTGGTTGGCAATTATGGCCCGTTTTGGCGACCAAAAATTTTGGTTGCCAATTGTCACATTCTGCGACCAAAAAGTTTGGTCGTCAATTGTCACATTCCTCCACCACCAAACATGTTAGTCACGAAAAAGAATGTTTTCACAACTAAAACTTTAGTCGACAATTGACAACGAAATCCTTTGGTTGCCAAAATTAATGATTTTAACGACTAATTATTTAGTTGCCAAATGTGCCCTCTCGCCTACCTTATTTAGTTGGCAAAAATATTAGTTATCTTTCCCGACTAATCAATTGGTCTCCAAAACCAAAAAAACAAATTCAAAATTTGGTCTCCAACATCCAACAAAATAAACCTGTAATTCATAATAATTCATCCAATCCATTCAATATAATATGCAATTTGCAAGAATCATTCAAATCAACTGAATTATAAACATTCGACAAAATACATAAATCATCCAATCTTGAACCTGTTTAATGAAAGTCATCAACTATTATAAGTTTTCATCCACAAGTAATTTCAAACTACATATTCCCCCAATTAAAAATCCACTTGTAATCTATATAATCATCCAAGTCACATCCATCTAACATAACAATTTAAAACATAACAATTACTTGTTATTATGTTTTAAATTGTTATCCATGCGCATCCATCAAAAAATATACACACTAGTAATCTACCCAAATATTTTCCATACACATCCATCCAAAAATATAACTACTAGTCTATCCAAAAATATAACTACTAGTCCACCCAAATCTTTTCCATACATACATTTATCCAAAAATATATATTCCTTCCAAAAATGCTTATACTGCCAATTAGTCCTGTACAATTTAGCTTCGTGCACGAGATCATCCATCTGTACCAAAGAAAATGAGAAATAATGTCAGGCAAATTTTTGTTGAAAATATTTGCACATCACTTTATTGTAAAGTTGGACAAAAAATGAAAAAATTTCAGTGGAAAGTAAAGGAAACATTAACAAATTAAATGACTAGCAATATCGTTTTGTTAATAAAACATCATTCATATGTATATATCAATTCTAACTATTGTTCAACTTTACAATAGTTAAACATCATTAACATCATCTTCTAACCTGTTACAGGTGTTCACAACAATGACGCCAGTTACAATTGTGCAATTGAATCACATTGCCAAAGCAGCTGTAATGGGTAGCAATATTATGTAATGGTGTTACATAACAGTTTCAGCCCATTTTTAAAACCTTGCTCCCCTTTATCCTGCCATCTCCTTTCATCTCACCTAGACCCGTTACAATACTCACTTTGCTCACCCACCACCCCTGTAATCCTTTTTCACTTCCACAACCATCTCCTGTCAACCCCTCTCCCCAACTTAGCCCACCCCGTCTCCCCTCACCCACTAGCCTTGCCATTCCCTCACCCCTCACCCACCATTCTATACAAACCCAATAGCACCCACTACCATCACACATTCTAGTCCTGAAAATCAATTCCAGTACCGAAAATATGTATTCCAATTTGAATAACTCCAGTGTATTGTTTCCTAAAACTTGTTCATTTATATATACAATGTTATATGTGTATAATATGATTAAATTATAAATTAAGATATAACTTACAAAATAAATTATAATGTTAGGGTGTATAGGCTAATAATTTATTTGGTTAACCTATAATTAGAATAAAAAAAATATATTACATATAACATAAGAGAGAGAATGAGAAGAAAGTAGATAGGTATTAAGATTACGGAGTTAGTGTTGCAATTTAGTCTAAAAGCACATGAGGAGTCTATGGTATTTTTAATTGACAGGTAGTCAAGTGCTCCAAGGCCAAACCCTTAAGGGATAAAGAGGATTTTCCCTTAAATTAAAATCATGTTTGATAGCTGATTTACCAAGTGCTATAGTCTACATTTCTATGAGATAGTTAAGAAGAAGCTTGTTTATCTATGACGTAAAAATACAAACAAACCCTTACCACATCTCAAATCTATTGAAAATATATTATTAAATGAAACCTTGGATGAGGTGCCTGTAAGGGTCTCCTACAAAAGAAAGTTCGATAGAATTTTCCAAAGTGGTAGGGAATGAGAAGCCATTTCAATGTTTAGATACTGCAGCAAAAATATTGAATAAAGCTTTACAGTAAACAAGCTTCTAGCTGTAACAGAAGTCCCAAGAACCTAACGCTATAGACACCGACTAGTTTGCCTTCAGTATTTTTAAGATCTGATGCAAATCTGATGAAATTCGGTCCATGTAATTTCTAAAGCTAAAAGATTTCAATTAACTAGCTAAATTATAAGCAGCTCTAAAAATATAATCATGAAAATTAGGGATACTAGTCTTTACTAGTAATTCAGTAGATTGTGGGTTTCTTTCTTTCCATAACATCATCCTAAAATTATATGAGTCAACTTAATGTTCCATTCATCAAAGCCACAAATAGAAGGTTTCATAAACGCCATACCACTAGGAAACCAGGAACACCCAACAAGGAAAAAACTTGACAGGGCTAAAAAAATCTAAGGCAAACCAACATAAATATCCCGTTTTATCTAACAAGGACTCTTCACTTGCATCAACAGACTCTTCACCTCTCTCGCCTGCTTCAACCCTAGTCCTATCGACACACCGCTTGGTCCCACAAGTTTCTTTAATCTAGTCGGAGGTGACCATGATGATCTCCAGGATGTTTGGGGTTTTTTAGTTTATATTGCCCCCCAAAAGGCCCGTTTTTGCCTTTTTCCTCACATTTTTTTGTCTAACTCTTTAACCATGCGTCCGATCAATGCGCTGCTTCCTCTCACACATTTTTTTAATGTAGGCCGAGGTGCCTATTATGATATCGAGGCTGTTTCGATGCTGTTTCCAATGTTTGGCCCCAAATGGGCTGTTTTCCCCTTTTTTGCCTCACAATTGGTTCTCTAATATTCTCATAACACGTTTATTTGCCTTGACTTTGAACATAAATATAATGCAATTTGGTTAACACACTTACCCATTACCATGAGTAGCTATGGTGGGGACTTTGATGGATTGAGCATTTCCAAAACTTGCGCCACCATGCCTTCAAGTCCAAAAATCTGCCCCTGCATCTCTTGACGTTGTCTTGCATTCTCTGCATCTTTTATTTGTTGGTCCTCTTCTTTTTTTTGATGCTCCTCATGGTCACTCTGCTGCTCCGCACGTAGTATCTCCAACTCGGATGTAAGCCTTTTCAAGTGCTCCTCTCGTGCTTGTGATGCCGCATTCAACCCAGAATCACAAGACGAGGGCTTTGGTCCGACCCCAAAACCTCTCAGGTATCCCTTCTTCTTCCCAAGAACCACTCTTGATATATTCTCTTGTGTCATGAGCGTTCCAGACTCGATAGACTCATCTCGCACCATCGTCATTTGCTCCTGTAATTGTGACACTGGAATATTGTTAATATAAATCAAACACAATAGTTAGTATAAGTGTCCAAATGATTGGAATACTTGCATGTAGAGCACCGCATATAGGATCAATCCATTCTTTTGTCTTCTTATTCTGATGAGTGTCCTTGTAGAAATCGCAAATATCTGGCAAGAAGCCACCATTTTCCTTCACCTATGATATGCCAAACACCGAGATCAACACTCCTTCATTAATATGATAACATATGAAATAAGTGTGGATAAAGTTAATAAAATCAATGACACACATCTCACCTCAATGCTCATCGCCGCCGGAAAAGATCGCGACCCACTACTGTGATTGTAGGGTAGCTTGCTCCTATTAAGTTTCCCGGTGTCGTAGCGACGCTACATAATCCATATTGTAAGGGTTTGTTACATATATAGTTAAACAATGATAACAGTACTAACTAATAACTAAATCATAACATACCTTACAATCTTTATGTAACACATAACACTTCCTTTCCACAACTTGATGGGATAGTGAATTCTCCTCGTAATTCTCCCCAATCTCAAATTTATCCTACAATCAATACAAACCAAATAAGTAACTTAACTGATGTAATGTCAAAAGCTGAAAATTTGTCAAGAGTGAGAAAACCTTAAAATGGTGTCATTATACTAGTTTAAATGAGGGAGAAGACTCCCTATAGTCTTGCCATGATATATGATCCACCACTTTCATAGTTCAATATGTGAAGAAAGAATTTGCTAACCATATCATTTTAATGTTAAACGCAAGTTAATTGTCATGGCTTTGCTATATGGTGCAATACCTTTTGTGTGTGTGTATATATGTATATATAGGTATAGAAACCTATCTATTGACAAATAGATTTGATGACTTGTTTGTAGACTGGCTATCCAAAGGCTTGAAATTACAAAGAATGACTTGTGACACAGGATTGCAAAAACAAAATTTGGCTCCCATCTGTGTTAGGCTAGAGGAAATGCTATTTTACAGGCTACCTTGGAGAGAAGGAAGCAAGCTTTTCATGAGCGTCGCTTTGCCCTTGAACAAGATGTATACTCTTTTTTACCCATTACATATGGAAACGATTTGTGGTTGTTTTCCCATTACTTGGTTTCTTTTGATACTATTTTCTATCTCTGTTTTTTTACTCGATATGTTCAGCATTGGGCATGAACTTCAGGTCTGTCCCTTCAGTTAAATATGTTCATTTGCATGCCATTTTATGCCTTGGTTATGTTTCACAGTTTTTCTAATAGTGAATTTTCTGATGCAATTGAAAATATGTTGAGTCACCTTTTCTAATAATATCTCTTCATAGAATCACATAGTACTTCTCTATCCTTCCCGGATGCCTCGGGTTGGTCTAGGTGCGGGGGCTTGAAGTACCGCCCGCTTCTCGTCATGTGATCCACCTCATCGAGGTACCAAGTGTCATCCGGTTGATTACTTCCCCAATCTTCATCCGTGTGGGCAAGACATAAGTCATCGTCTTCCCACCACATGCCGCTAGCATTCAAAAGGCACCCGTCTGGTTCGGGCATGTTCGTGCTCACAGTACTTTCAGTCTGTATGCCCACGGCATTCTCCATTCTTGTGCCCGCAGCACTTTCGATCCCTTCATGGATCTTAGCTTTTCCGGTTCTCTCAGAACCTTGTTGTTTTATCTGCACCGGTGCAGCTTGTTGTTCAGTCTTTCTTGCATCCACAATGTTTTCGTCCAGAGCGAAATTCTTCGTACCGGCGCTCTCGGGCAATATAACTTGACTTCCGGCCCTTCCGGCCACAGCTGATACTCTCGCCCCTGCCGGACCCTGTTCTGGCTGGGATTCTCCCACTACATCTGGTTGATCATCGAGCCATCCAGTGGCCTCTGCCGATTCCTCATAGTCGAACCAGTTGATTGCTGCATCCCTTGATTCTTGATCATCGAAAAATTGCAAGTTGGCGAAGTCCTCCTTTACAGCTGTCAGATCATCTGATCTCTGCTCAAATCCCCCCCCCTCGGATCATACACAGTTCTGCACTTTCTGGCAACCCCACACTCAGCTCGGGTTGGCCCACCGATAGGATGTATTCACTTGGGTCGTAGGTTTCCTCAGCAAAAATTCAAGACTGTTCAAACCCAGCCTCGACCATTCTATCCCCCTCTGCAACCTCTGCTGCACTATCTTCCATGGTCACCACCGCTGGTTCAGGTTGGGTTGTAGAGATGTCCAACATGCACAAGGAGTCAGTGTAGTCGGGGAGGAACACCTCCGGCTTAGGTAGGTGGGTGGGAGTAATATAGATGCTAGGATCATAAGACACGACCCCAGTTTGGATAAAGTTGACTCTTTTGGGAGGTGGATTTTGGTTGTGTGTAGGGAGGGGGTTGGTTGTGACGTTGGGTTTTTCTGGCGAAAAAATCACATTTTTGTCAACGAGGTCTTGAATCTCATGACGCAGCCTGTAACATTGGTCGGTGTCATGGCCGTGCTGCTGGTGATATGCACAGTATTTTGGCCGGGTTGTGAGAGGGAGGGAGTGGATTCGGCAATGGCCTCGGCTCTAGGGGTTTCAGATGCCCCTTTCTGATCAAGACCCCCAGAGCCTTAGACAAAGGCATGTATAATGGGGTGAAGGTTCTTTGGCGTCTAGGGGGGTATTTGGAGGTTTGAGCATTGCTTCCGGACGCACCGGAGAAGGGCGTGGCTGCCATGGGCCTTGGAAGGGGAGGGGGAATGGTAGCGACCATACTGACTTCCGAGGCTCTTGCGTTTGCAGCGCCACTCGGGCCTGCATTGTTGTTATGGTTGAAAGTCCTCCTCGGTTGCTCCCTATCCTGGTCAAACAGACCTTGCCTCATTGCATCTTCGATTTGTACCCCCATCTCGTGTAAATCTGAGAAAGTGGGAATGGGGATTACAATCATTCTCTGCATCAACTTTGGTTGGAGATTGCGCTTATTTGGATTTTAAAGGCAATTTAATAGTGAATACATTTTTACATACTTGTATCCTAATTAGTTTTATGTATATTTTTGTATCTCAACAATAAATCTTATTACATGGGAGAGTTAATCCAACAATAAAGCTAATTAGACTTTTTCAAGCTTTCATAACCAACAAAGAAAACAAATGAGCTCCTATATGCAAATTAAAACAGGACTGTTTCCATCATCCACACTATGAAAGCAATTGAATCATACCCGGACAGCTTGTACAACAGCCCCTTTTGTCGCTGGATCAGCAACAGTCCATCGATATTGCATATATGGATCAGCTCGTGCATTAGTTTCAAATGGAGATGGTGCAACAGTCTTAGATCTTGACAATGCATTACTTTCAGACGGAGATGGTGCAATAGTCTGAGATCCATCTGCTGCAACACCTTCAAGAGCAGGTGTAGGTGTATCGGTCGGGGATGAGTATGGTTCAATCAATGCCCTCTTTGGTAAAGGAATACGGCGCATCTTTTTCGCAGGAGCCATTCTGTTACATTTTAACATAATCAAAGGCAAAGAGCACAATGAGCACATGGATACGCACAAATTTTAAAATGCGTATAGACATATACATCAAGATTGATAATTAACAAACATTTACGTAAGAAATGAACATCCATGAAGCATCTTAATTTCATATATATCCATCTATCCATCTTGTAAAGACAGCAAGAATTGAGCCCTTCACATCAAAGTTGAGAGACCAACCAAATACCATTTGGCCTACAAGGCCAGTGAGTAGTGTAGCACCTAAGAACCCACTACAAAAAATAGCTATAGTTTTGGTCATCTGTGTGCACTGAACAACATAACATTAAATGTTTGTGCTGCTGTATCGTTTATGTTGTTGATCTTTCCACTATTACATAATTGAGAACTATTCCTCTTCATTTTAATGACTGAACATGGTTTTGAGCAAGCCTGAAATTGCTCTGAGTTGTGTAAAAGCACTTTTGGCTGTAGATATGTTTGTACCTATAAACCTGAGTTTGGAAATGTATTATGCCATTGATTAAGTATTTCACCAAGTTGTTTTTGGCTCTTAGGCTGTAGATATGTTCGTAAACATAAACCTGAGTTTGGAAATGTATTATGCCATTGATTAAGTATTTCACCAAGTTATTTTTGGCTCTTAAAGCTGGCTTAGTGTTAAGCCATGAACAGAGCTGCTAATGCAGTAACCTCCTCACGCATCCCACCATGTATAACGTGTTTATTTTGGTTGGTTTGCTAGAAACTCTGGCGATTCAAGCTGAAACCGGAGTCCCCCTGATACTTTCATGGTGCTTATGAACTGAAAAGGGGAAAGTAAGGAGCTTTTTCCATTCTTATCTCTCACCTATAAGATTGCAAGATGGTGTTGCAATGACACTAGTCACTTCGAAAGCGAGAGGTCTAGCCATGTTTATCAAATTGCTGCGATAGATCGACCCTTTGAATACCAATCAAGAACACATAAGGGAAACATTGTTTTTGAGAAGTCTTTAAGAGATGGGTGAAACCTCACAGGAAGAATTGAGTTCTAGAACTTGCACATACAAGTCTTGTTACACTGTTGAATGAAACCTCAAAATAATGGTGATCAACACTTCAACAAAGCATTCCCAGTTGGAGCCAAAAAAACACAATAACAACAGAATCCACAAATTACTTGAACCCTAGACACAATGGCAACTATTTTTTTACAGAACAAACAAGAATATACATATATATACATATATATATATATATATCAGTTTTCATTTTTTGCATTATCTGGTGAGTATGATTTTAGTCCATCCCTTCAAACATTCACTCAATAGGGTTTTAAAATTAGGGATTTTCAAAAAAATTGGTTTTGACAATTAGGGAAAACAAAGGAAAATAGAGAAATTGAGCGACAGAGAGAGAGAGGACCCATACCTAATGTCGGGGTTGTTTGAAGACAGGCGAACTGGTTGTAGCGGAAAAATGGTGATGGTGGTACTGTTAGGTGCGAAAAGAGAGAGCAACCATGTGAGTAAGAGGAGTAATGGAACACAACTACAAAGATTGAGAGAGAGAGAGAGAGAGAGAGAAATAGAGATAAAAATACATACCTAACAATGGAGGCCCAAGTACTTCTCGAAGCGCCGCTGATGCTTGGTCGAAAAATCGACACAGGCGACTGCGATGATGGAGGAGGAGCAACTTTGTTGAACACAATCGAGCAGGAGAATCGACGATGAGGTACGTATGAGGAGTGGTGCGCGGAAGTGGTGCGCGGGAGTGACTGTATAAAGAGTTTGAAAAATTCACTCGGGTAATAGGGCAATTTTTTCCCTACTAAACTGTTTGGTCGGTATTGAATCAACATTTACTTAAATAACATTCAAAACGGGGTCGTTTCAAGATCTGCGACCAAATCTTGGTCGCTAAAAATTTTACAGATGTTTCCAATTACAATTTTACAGATGTTTCCAATATTATCAACTAATTTTTTTTTTTCAAATGTTTCCAATTTTGAAATTTTTTTGTTTTTGTTGTGTGGGTATATACAAAATGTATTTACGTAGTAGTTTAAACCAATAGTATAGTACGACATCTTATGGATTGAATATAATTAAGTCATTATTTTAAAGTAGTTGACAAACTATTTAGTGTAAATTGTGATTTCTCATATTTTGAGCATCACATAGGCAACACCATATGGTACTCGAAGACTATGTAATAATTTACGTTCAAAGCACATCATTTATAACCAATAAGATATGTTTAAAATTTTTTGTCAAATAAAAATTAAATAGTTTTATAATATTTTGTGCTATAAATGATGTGTTTTTATTTTCTAAAATTAGGAATTTTGAAACCTGGTGAATTTTTGTGCCAAAATTAGAAACTAACATTACCATCCCGTACCGATGTATTACACACTATTATAAAATTATTCTTATCTTTATATTGATCATGATTTTTTTAAAAATAACAATTTATAATTAATAACTGTCCCCTCTAACATAATTTCCTGGCTCCGCCACTGGCCACCGCAACATGAAGCCCATCTCTAATGGAAGTAAACAAAGCCGAAAAGCCAGCAGTGGAGGCTCCACCAACTCTAATCCCCAGCCTAAGAATAAGATCAAGCGTGGTCGGCTTGTTTCCATAGAACGACAGTGGACCCACCATAAAATTAGTCAAACTAATGGCAACTTAATCGATGTGGAGCCCTAGCCCTAGCCTATGGCTATTGATGAGTTGCTCTGTGGTATCACCACCACAAGGCTTACAGTCATATGTGCTAATCGAGACAGAGACAGAGTGATGAGCGAGAGAAAGACAAAGTGGTCGCTAAAAGTGCATTTTCTTGTAGTGAAAAGCTCGGTAAATAGAGAAGAGGGGAGGGAGAGAGTGAGTAAGGTGAACACAATGGGGGAGAGAGACAGACAGACAGATACACACACACACAGAGAAAGAGAGAGAGAAGAGTGAGAGACAGACAGACAAACATAGAGAGAGAAAGAGAGAGAGAAGAGTGATGGGTAAGAGAGAGAGATAGAGAGAGAAAGAGATATAGAGAGACAGAAAGAGAAAGAGATAGAGACAGAGACAGAGAGAAACAAGAGATGAGTAAGAGATAGACAAAGAGAGAGAGAGAGCAAAAAGAGATGATCGAGAGAAAGACATAGAAAAAGAGAGAGATTGAGAGAGAAGAAAGATGAGCGAGAAATTGGTAAAATAATAATTTTTTTTTATAGTTAATGAATTGTTTTTTTTAAGTAATTAAAGTTGAAAATTTATTTGTTTCATTTTTATTTTAATGAATAAAAAATTATTCTTATTTTTTTACTTTGGTAGAAGTAGAGGTAATAGTTTAATGAAAAATATTTTCCATAAATTTTATAAATTGGGTTTTGTTTATTTTTAGAAAAACATAAATTATAAACGCGTTTGGTTTGAACAAAATGTTTTAAAAAAAAATAAAATATAAACTAAAAAACATGTTTGTCTAGACCTAAAATATTTATATTTATTTTTTTTTATTATTTATGACGATGGGATCATACACATTATAATTGAAAAAATAAATTATTGGGAAAAAAAATAATTGAAAAGAGATGAGAGAGATAGAGAAAAAAGATGAGTGAAAGAGAGAGAGAAGAGAATGAGCGAGAGAAAGAGAGACCCATTTCATTTTTTGACTTTTTCCTATTTCAAGAATGGGCTCAGAGAAAGAGATGTGTGTGATTGAGAGAAATGAACGAATAAGAGAAAAGAGAGATGAGTGAGAAACAGAAAGAAAGAAAAAAAGCGAGAGATAGACACAGAGAGAGAGAGAGAGACAACAAAAAGAAATGAACAAGAGCTAGAGAAAGAGACATAGAGAGAGAAAGAGAGAGAGAAGAGTGATGAGTGAAAGAGAGACAGAGAGATAGACAGATAGAGAGAGAGAGACAGAGGGAGAAAGAGATAGAGACATAGACAGAGAGAAACAAGAGATGAGTAAGAGATAGACAAAGAGAGAGAGAAAGAGAACGAAAAGAGATGATCGAGAGAAAGACAAAAAAGAAGAGAGATAGAGAGAGAAGAAAGATAAGTAGGAAAGACAGAGAGAGAGATAGAGAGAAGAGAGATAGGCGAGAGACACGGAGAGAGAAGAGAGGTGAACGAGAGAGAGATAGAAATAAGAGAGATGAGCAATAGAGACAGAGAGAAAAGAGAGATGAGAGAGAGCGAGAGAAGAGAGATGAGCAAGAGAGATAGAGACAAGAGAGCTGAACGAAAGAGACAGAGAAAGAAAAGAGATGAGAGAAAAGAAGAGATAGATGAGTGAGAGACACACA